CAGTGATTAGTCTTGGGTGAGAGGATTAAATCGATATATCTGATATATTATATATTTTTCCGAATATACCTATGGATAATCTAGATATATCTCACATGAATGCACTGACGAAAAAAAATCATTGATGTCAAGGATTCATTTATTTCAAGGAATTCTCTAGTTTTAAAAAAATTTGTTGTTAATTATGATAATTATCGTGCTCTTATCAATCAGGATGAATATTATCATGATAATATAACCATCTGGGCAAATACAACAATTAATCAAATGGAACAACTAGACTGACCCGAGTAACAATTATGTAACGATAATAATTACTCAACTTTGGAAACGCTTAAACAATTATTGACTTCACTGATGAAAATTTGGATTATAAAAATTTTTGCCTGCAAACATTCGGGGTGAAATGAATGTTCATTAATCGAGATACAGCCGTGGTATTTTTTTTTATAATATAAAAAATGAAAGGTGGAGTGTAAATTAATTTGGAAGAGAGGCTGAAGTTTCAGTGAAATAATTTTTTGGGTCTCGGTCACTAGGCAGCGGGAAAATGGTGAATTTTTGCCACCCTGGGCGCCAACTCACCCTCTCCAGGGGGTTACCAACACGTTGAAACATTTGTACCGGGGGGTGGAGCCTCCGGGGCGCGGCTACAGAAACCCCAAGAGAAGGCGGAGTTGGTGTTCAAGTATTTCTCCCTCTCTCCACTGTTTTCATTTTTTTTTTACTCTCAGTGCGCAACTGGAGTTCACTACCAACACACGCACGTCAGAAATGATAAATCGAATTGAGAACTGAGTCTGCGCTTGAAGCCATTGGCAAATACATTTTTATCGTTTTTTATAAATCCAATGGGAATTTTTTTAAATATCGAAAACCAATGGATATATCCGAATTTCTGGAATTCAATTTTTATAATTTGAGTTGAACGAGTAACGGGTAACCTTCGAATTTTTAAAAGTTATATGAATATTAGAATATTATTCAAGTTGTTAAAATCAGGCTTTTGACGGGGATAAAAGAATAATAAATAAATAATCAATGTGTGAATTTGTTTTTAATTGGCATTATTCCAGGAGAAAATTAAAACTTTCGGTTTTATTCTAATTAAAAAATAATGAATAACCCGAATACAAAGACATATTCATCCTATTTTTTTTAACAGATAAAATTATAAAATAAAAACATATACCTACATTTTTAATATTTAATATTTGATTGTAAATAAAAAATAGTAATCACCGAGTAAAATTGAAAAAAAAATTCCTAGGCAATGCTCTGCGACCCATGGGACTAAAAATGAATTTTTCCCAAAGGATAATCACAAATTAATTAAATAGAATAATTTTTAATGAATTTTAAAAATTTCCACTATCAGTTTGGTATAAATGATTATGATACCCCAGATTAAACATGGAGTTAACATTGTTTGAGGTAGCTGGCTACTTATTAAACACAAGAGTATGAAATAGGATCGTACAACGTAACTGAAGACATCCTCGTGTGTTTGAGGATGCAGGTATATTTTTCAAATGGTTGGCTTGCATCCGCGTGTGCACTGGGAATCCCAGTGGCACCGGTAAAGTAAGTATCCGGAGACAGAGGGTGGTATGCGTGCAATGCATCCAGGTGGGTGCATATATCCGTTTTCTCTCTCTCCTCTTACCAATTTCAGATGATTATTTCCCTGGAAGGATTCTCGAGCCTCTGGTGCACGCCAAGGGTGCCCATTGCAATTACAGGCATCGTTGAGTGTCAATATCTCGCTCCATTATCCCAATCGGAATGCTTTTGACGTTATCCCCCTCGTTTCACCTGCATTTTCACTCTCGTAGCTATTGAAATATTTGTTTCGTTTTACAGGTGAGATCCAATTGCGCCAAATTTCCAATTAAATATTCGATACGTTATTTTTTTATTATTATTTGAAACCTTATCGGTGGTGTTAATTTTCTCTATAGATTTTTCATTTCTGCGATTATTGTTTCGTATTATTGATGAATATGATAATGATTTAAATATTAATAATTATTATATTAATTCTGATAATTTCGAAAAATATGGAGAATTAAACAAATATTATAAATATTTTGGACAGATTTTTTGGGGCATTTTTTTGAGGGAAATATTTCCTCCCTTTTGTTTTGTGATGATTTTTTATTGGATCCCGTGTCTTCAGGTGGTTCTATGACAGTTTTCAGGAGTCAGTGATAAATATGGTGTACAACAGAAAAAGGGTGGACCTTGGAGGGGCTGTGAATTGATAATGGGGATATTAGCATCCTCTGGCTCCTTGGAGCGTCTAAGATCATCTGAGAATCGACTCCCTCGTGATTTTGTCCTCGTATTCATGGGGACCTTGATCCTGAAGGGGTTGTGGCGACGGTGAAATTTTGGGTGACGCCCTCCATGAATTTACAACGATCCATGACGAATTGAGGACATGTCGTCCTGCTTCTCACAACTGTTTTTAAAAAGTATATTTGCATGGCGGAGCGAAATATTCAAGAAAAATGAATAATTAATTAATCAATATAAATTATTTAATCATTTACATGATTACCAATCTGCAAGCGAGAATGGTAATCTTCCCCAAAAAATTTGAAAACTCATTTACCTCATTTTTTTCCCACTCCACATGGACATAAATATTTTATAAAAATTACGGAATACCGCGGAAAAATTCCGCGATTTCAAATAATGATGGAACAGCTCCGTAAAATTTTCTACCATCACATTTAACTCTGGAATTATGGAAATATAATTTTTATTAAATATTTCTGTGAGAATGAAAAATTCGAGAAAATTTCCGGATGATTCCGGATTGTTGTTTCTACGACTGATAAAACACTTGATCAATAAATCAAAATATGTCACATCGTAATCACATAACTGGAGCAAATGGTGCCCCGAGTTGGGCACGTGCTGCTGTCAACTACACGTATTAATATTATCCACCATATAGTTTGGGAAAACGGTGTATATATAAAGGGCTGTACTGGGTCCAGTTAATAAATATGATAATGGTGGGCTCGAGAACCCATCGTCAGATCTCACACCCTAGGTTGTGATATTTTTGGGTGGACAAGGGGGAGAGAAATGGGATGGGTTGAGGATATAGGATACGTGTATAAGAGTGACCAGTGAACGTCGTTTGGTGGAGTTCCTGTCATTCTCAGGCACCACCCTCGTATGTCATCAACCGCACATACACTCGTACGCAAGTTTTCGAGTTTATCTCCCCCCCCTGTAGTTATTGTTATCCTCCTCTCGCCATTAAACTGGACCTCGGTGTTTAGAATTATAAACTCACTCGAGGAATTCAAATAATTTCACTATCTACCGGTCAAGCCCTTCCCTTCTATGCAAATAATTACATATCATATATTCTGTTTTACGTCAAAATACGATAAAATAAATTCATCATAATAATAACGATAACACCAACAATTAATAATAATAATAATAATCATTACAATAATAATCATAATAACACGTGCAAAGTGGAAAAATTATTATAACAAAACGGATGGATACGAAAATGAGGATTTTTACATATTTGATATACTTTTTGAGAAAAAAAACAATTAATCTTTATGACTCAGCAGGAATAATCGTTGAATTTATTCTCTGAGATCGGCTTACCGGTTGAGTATTAATCGTAGTTGGATTGCCGTGACAGAATAAGAGGAATGAAATTCAAGGGGGGTGTTACCATGGCACTGGCAAAAGCCGGCAAGTCGTGCATTTGATATGAAACAGCTAGAGATATAATGAAACATTCTCAGTTTTATTGGTATTCAGTGAAATTTGCGATAAAAATTTAGCATTACCTCCAATTGAATTCAAGGACATGAATAAAAAGGTCAAGTACGTCGATTCGACAATTTTTTAATCAACTCGAGACTGTATTAGTATCGTTTTTATTAATATCTCTTTTTTTCTTTATTATTTACAAAACTTTATAATAATCTCTACTGATCTTATCATCCCTTGCTCACCCTCAAAATCTACCCACTATCATTCAATTATTTCTTGTGTGTGCATTTTCATTCACTTTAAATTGATTCAATTCTGACGGTAAATTGGATCATTTGTTTATATTAATATCAATAATAATTTTCTTCTCTAAAACGTTACATTATTTATAATAACACCGCACCGTTCAAAATGAAAACCGTTGGTGAGGGAATCGAATTGAGGATTCAACACTATTCTCGCGTGGGGATACGAGGGTTTATGTACACTTTTCAGTTATTATTTTATATCTCAGATTTTGTCACTGGGAAAATTCTTAGCCCGAGATATTCCTCTGGCGCCTTTAATAGGAATTTCCTATTCTCAATTTGTAAGGTGAAACTTTGAGTCAAAGTCACGACTGATTTTTACAAAATCATTCATCGATTTGGCTCATGTTCTCGTAAATCGAGTCCCTCCGTGGCTCAGAGTGCTAATTCTTTCCATTTTTTTATCATAGAAAAATTTTAATCTGGGATTTTAAAACTATGTACACTTTGTGAGAGAAATTTGTCGTTGAGTGAAAAGTGAAAGGAGTGAAAAGAGAATTTGCTAAAAATTTTATTGACCTCTTTGGTTCATTTACTCCTGCGATATTGGCTCCTGTAATTAAATAAGGTTAATTGCAAATTGACTCTTGCAGGTTTTGAGAGTGTTCCATGTTGTCATGTGCAAATAAATTCATGGCTCTATCTCAACAGCTCGAGATATCAAAGACAGAGTGAGACATTTCACAGAACTCTGCGCCAATTTTTCACCTCAAAATCCTCGTCTCCATATTTTGATAACTTATTATGCATGTCATCAGGAAATATCCACAGAAATCAATTTATAATCTTCTCTGAAAATGATAGACTCCAAATTCAAGACTAGAGTTTGCCCCTTTGATTATTAAAAAAAATGGATACGATTGTATATAAAATTTCTTAAAAAATAAAATCATCTCTCCCCACCAAATAAAAATTTCAAAATGAAAACTCATGATTAATAATCAATTCACCCGATAAAAAAAAAATGTCATTTCACTCTGAACAAAAATTGAATTCCTCTCAAATCGTTTACAAATAAGTTCTTCAATAAAAAATAAAATAAAAATATTCAGGGCCGAGTAGAATCATTAGCAATAGAATTTCGTGAAATGTCAACGGCAAAAAAAAAACGAACCGGAAACCACTCAACGACAAAATAATAAATCTTTAATTTAATTTCAAGGGCTTTCATCTGGAATAGTGTACCATGCAGTTGGATCCGCGGCGAGGGCCCACGGGCCGGCGACGGAGGGATTAGCGTAGGCCGCTGCCCCTGCCGCGGATGGCGCGCACTACCAGGCCCTACCCTGGAGTGGTAAATAGGCCCCGCACTGGGCCTGCTGTTGTTGCTGCATCGCCTGCTGTCCACCGGTTCTCGTGTAAGAACAGTGCTGGAGGCTCTGACTGGACGACATAACATGACTGACACCGGCTAACGAGTGATGGGAAACACTGGCCCCGTGATGAGTCCCATGGGGACTAGAGGCCGCGGTCATGTGGGGCGCTGGACTCGCTAGGGCCGCACTAGGGCCCCCACGACTTCCCTCGTTACCCCCACCTCCACCACTTCCACATGGTTTTCCATCTTTCACCAGGACTGGTACAGCTACCCGTCGGGGAGAACTCGCGCTCTAGAATCAAATTAAATTCGTTATTAAAGAGAACGAACGTGATAACGTGTCTTCTATCACTGATTATTAATCTGTAAGATTATACTGTTAAAAAATTAGTCCTGAAAAATTGTTTAAAATTATTTTTCCTCTTTTTTCGTAGGATAAGAATTACTCGGATAATATTTTTCTTTTGTTCATTCGTTGGACAGAAATTTACAACTGCTGTGATGACATGGAAAAATATGTAATGATGGGTCAGTTATTGTTAACAATTCGTTTATTGTTAACGAATGCATATTTGGAAATATTTCTATCAACTCGATTTTTCATTCTCAAGTACATCACTTAACTGTTAATGAACATTTAATCCCAATTTTAATACTTTTTGTTGACTGTGTGAAGCCTCGTTTGGGGGAATTGAATTATTTTTCATCGTTAAAATGGAATAACAATTGTAAAGAACAGGAGCACTTCTGGTCGTGTATGTGGAGGGAGATATTTGCGTACATTAAAAAATTCCCGATAGCATGTACCCATCCTCTGAATGTGACGTACGGGGATTTCGATACATGTTGACGCGATGAATATGTTCGATACAGATTTTCCGATTTTTGCTTGATTTGCAAAAAGAAAAAGTATTTAAATTTCCGTGGAAAAATTCCATTTGAATTAAACAAACACCACTTTACATTTATCATATCGTATTTTAACCATGCGAGTAAATAATTTTTAACTACATAAATATCATTCTGGTAAACAATTTGTTGATTAATCAAAAGCTTTTCCGCTACCATGGATTTCCATTAAATTTCCAGAGATACTCTATAATGTAAAAATCGACCATTTGAATGAAAAAATGAATGGTTAAAATATTTTCATTCAAATCAGGGCTACCGTATATCCTCCCGAGATTGACGAAACTCTCGGAATATTGAATCACACAAGATTCGGAATGACAAAGATACGAAGAAAAAAAAAAATAAATAGCAGGAGAAACGTTTTCCCCATGGCAGCGAGTATATGCAGAGTAAACAAAACGTGGGCGCACGGGTACATAAAATCTATATACGAAGAGAAATACACGTACGATAGAGATGCGACGGAGATTGTCTCGTTCAAGTACGAACGATTCGTCTCATTATGAATATCCTAAGTAGGGAAATAGCTACCGTCATCCATCCAGTGGGTATATATTTTTTATTTTTTTTTTTTCTCATCTCTTACTCGAATATTTTTATCTCTTATTTTTCGTTGAGGATCAGAGGAATTGCCGTTGGACACAACGGTATGCCAAACAGAAGCCAGTAGACGACCAACTCTCGTACCTGTATGGAAACCCGGTGGACCACTCAGCTGTATCAACATCGAGTACATGACATTCCTCTTCGATCTCAGGGCTCCTGCTGTCCGCTCTAATAACAACTCACTTGTACCCGAAGCCTTGAGTACCATGTACTTTCCACTATTTTCACTATTTTTCTCAGAATATCAGATATCCCGTGCAGAGAATTTTTTTTTTCTTTCATTAAAATTACTCTCTCTTTTTCATGCATTTTAAAAATCATAATTCCAAAATTGTAATCGAGATATCGTTTTTCTGATGGAATGCGACATACCTGGATATAATTGACAGATATTTTTCCATGGGCCATTCAATCATCATTATTCGGTATTTTTTTCTCTTCATGAAAGAACGCGAAGAATTCAGACGAGTGGATAATCGATTGCAAACGGAATTTTTGAAAAAACTAATGGACTCATGACTTAGCACTGAATTGCGAATTCTGTGGAAATATTGTGGACTATCTAAAGTTTAATTAAATAAAAATTTCACATAAATAAATTATATAAATACACTAAAAATTTAACCCGAATTTTTCTGAATAATTTCCTGAATAATTTCTGCTTTTGGTATGGCAAAAACATGAAAAATTTACCACTGATCCACCATTTTTTTATAAATCCTTGTACCCCTTCCACATCTTCACCAATTGCCGATGGTGATTTATTCGAAAGCAAATAACCGATTTACCGTGTTGCAGGCAATTTGAATAATATATTCCCTTTGAAAAATGAATACGAGAATTTTCAAAGCGCTCGCTCATCGTTAAAAACGATTAGACGAGGGAAAATATATTGGCGAGTTAATGGGCAATAGCACGAGATCGGTCACGTAAGTATATGAATGGGTAAATCCACTTGACGCCTGATAAAGTGATGATGATTACGTTAAACGTTACATGTGACGAGTAAAAATTATCGTACGCGCGCGTCACGCGTCACATCACACGCGTCACAATCACTTTAGTCACTTGAAATGGATAACCGCGGGTTCCATATCCGCCGGAATCATAATCATCACAATCTATCACGACCATCATATTTTATATTCAAACAAAATGATTATCAGTCTCCCGAAAAGTTTACGTTGCCTGCATAATTCAACGAATGCCAATCGAAATTGCATTTCGATTAATTTAATTCGACTCTCGACTCGCCTACCCGCATGGGAAAATATATAATCGAAAAATTATAACTGATATATATATTTTGCGAAAATAATATTTTAAATATACCCAACTCCTATTCTGAATATATCTTGTATATGACCGGGGAGATATATAAAAATTATTTCAAATATATATATATTTCAATGACTTTTTTTAACGAAATTGAATAAATTAATGAACAAATAAATGAGTGGAATGAAGAATAAATGAGTTGAGTGAAAATGATATCTTGAGGGAGATGAGATTATAATATGATCTTTGTGGGGTTCATACCAATCTTGGATAGTTGATATAATTAAAACAATCGGATAATGAAAAAATAATTAAACCCCAAATGACGGTCAGGTGTTGAGCGTGACTGTACCCGGTGCAAGATGGCGTAGGCTCTCTCGAGAGGCCGATTCCTCATCCCCTTTCCTCTCTTCATCCCCATCCCTCTCACGACACAACTCCTCTGGATACTTCTCTCTTCCTCATCTAGGTACGTCAAGTTACCGTTCGTTCGTGCTCGCTTGCCTCGCACAACGCTTGAGATTCTTTTTTTTATTTCACATTTTTTTCACCCTCCCACCACTGCACACGAGAACAGCGGGGAAAAAGTCGAGAGTAAAAGGGAGAAATGAAAGAAAAAAAATATTGAGTAAAAAATACGTGAAATCGAGATATTTCCAACAATTAATCGATTTATTCACAAATTCAATCAAATTGTGTCATATCCGTGATAATTTCGAAGATTAAATAATCCAATGAATATTCACTGATAAATAATCAGATATTTCAATATATAATAATATATAATAATATATAAATATATATAAATATATGAAATATGTTTTGAGCTGATAAAAGGTAAAATCAAAGGTGAAATCGACGCCCTCGAAAGGCCGTCACTTCACTCTGGATTTGCCTAACTCAATTACCTGATTTTTCAACTACAATAACAAGGGTGTAAATGTTTACAATTGTTCACCCTCCCAAAGGTACCGCCCACTCGGATAGAGGCGGAGATCGGCAATTGCACGTATCGTTGATCACGATCAAGATAAAACGTGCCGTGCGGCGTAAACAAAGGTCGTCCGGTATACGAATTGTAATCGAGGTTGTATTATTCTCTCCATTAGAAAGGGCCGGCTATTTTCTCTCTTTGCCCTAAGGCAAAACAGTGTTTGGAGGTCTAACAAGTAAATTATGGGGGACCGAGCGTTACGATCGGTCTCAAGATACCTTTTTCCTGCCGTTTCAATGGACAGAAATGTTTTTCTTCCCTTTTTCATCGTTAATACCCCAAACGATCAAAACGCGACACTTTTTTCGATACAAATAAAATCCATTCAAACGTCTGTGATCGTTATCGCATTTTACCCCTCATTTCTTCCATCATATTAACGGTGCATTAATGTTTTACCGATGTTTTGTGTTTGGCATTTTTATGCAGGTACCGGTGCGAGAATTTTATTGGAGAATTTCTGGGGACTGTTTTATCATTTTATTTCGGAGGGAAAGCGCAAGGTAATCGGGGATTTACTGCAGACGTGATCGCGCATATCATGATTGAAGATTTTTTCTTCGACGGAGAAGTTCAATTCGTATTCGGTTTTTATATTGATTATCGTCTTGCTTCTTGATGCGTAGAAATAGATAAAAAGCGATTTACTGATTGAGGGTTCATTGAGGAATCATTTGGCAAATCTAGGATCTAGTCTTTTTTGACGATGACAAATTGACGGGACATTTTTCAATGATTTCTCACGGCTGAATCCGTGATTTATTGAATGTTCAAATGATTCTCAATAAGATAATTGTTTTTAATTTATTTTTCATTTGTTACCTGATTTTGGGCGTTTTGCTCTGCCATCGCCTTCTCCTTCGCTTGTCTTTTGCACTTGTATCGGTGATTTTGAAACCAGATTTTCACCTGTAATGAAAAAAAAAATAAATTAAAGTCAGCAAGAAAGACAGCTACGAAGCGGCCAATAATTAAATATTATAGTTGTACTCGTTGTTAGTTAATAAATTTGACGAAAAATAGAAAAAAATGAATGAGGAATTAAAATGGGTGCTCCTGATTTTTTCACGTGGAAATAATTCGACAATTGCGAGTAGAAATTCGGTTGCCAGGTAAAAATCGGGGTGTTTTCATAGGACTGACGTTTGTGAGAAGCATCAGTGCCGTTATAACGCCTGCCACATAATCCATCGCTAAAGTCTGAATTTTCCTCTGTTATTTTACCCCCGAAAATAAAAACGTGAGTCGAATAATTCCACAAATTTGTGTTTCAGTTAAAATCCCGTAAAAATTGACTGAAAAAATTGCACACCATTTTTTACATCTCTGTTTTCCGAAAGTTTCCGATTGGTGAAAAAGGGTATATAAAAGAGTACTCGGCCTCAACAACTTCAGTTTATCTTTTTTTTTCCTCCGTTCAGTTTTTTTTTTTTCTGATTTTTTTGGTTCGTCGATTGCTCAAAACCGCTTTTACGGCAATTGAACGCGATTAGGGAGATCTACCGTGGACAGGGAATCGGATCAGCATCTGCTTATGACAGGGTGGCGTCATAATCCAACATTACATGAAAGAGTACAATGGGAGTAAATGCATCCGCTTTTATGCGCTCGATGGGAGCCGACGGGAAAACAATAAGTTCGATATCAGAATGAAAAATATTTTCGAGCACCAAGTAAAATATTCCATCACTGTTATTAAATTCTTAAAAGAATACAAATTCTTTGAGAATTCTATAAAGCCTCCGTAATTCGCAAGAGAGAATTTAAGTCAGAGAAAAATTACGGAGTGCCCGAATATTTTTTTTGTTATAAATTACCAGAGGAGAGATATTCCCTCTATATTTTTCCAC